AGGCACCCACCCCGTGCGCGTCCCGTTTGGCGCCGCGACGTGCCACGCATGCCACGCTTCGGGCGCCTGAGACGGATAGCGCCCCCACACCCTGCGCAACCTCTTTGGCGTCGAGACAGTGCCACGCTTGCCACGTCCTGCGACCCTGAGACGGATAGCGCCCCACCCCTTGTGAACTCTTTCTGGCGTCTGCCACGCTTTGCGACCCTACGACGGATAGCGCCCCCACCCCCTGCGCGTGCTGCTTCTTGCGACCCTCAGACGGATGGTGCCCCCACCCCTTTCGGACCCTGTGTGGCGTTGAGAACGTACCACGCCTGCCAGGTGTTGCGGCCCTGAGACGGATAGCGCCCTCACCCCCTGCGGACCCCTTTCTGGCGTCGAGCATGTGCCTCGCCTGCCACGCTTGCCACGCCCTGCGGATCCTACGCGTATGTGTTGTGTGGTGCACGTGTCATGTGAGTGATGCAGTCTGCACCTGTGAGTCCTGTGTATGTGGATGATTATGATCTGTGTACGGCTGTATGTACAGTTGCGCATCATGCGGGCGCCGTGCGTGGAGGAGGAGTGGCGAGGAGGGGTGATGTGAGTGACGCGGGTGGGAAGAAAACATGAGTCCCACTAAGCATGTGGGGGAAATGTGGGAGACCAAAACCGTCAAACAGCTCAAGGTTGAGGGGCGAAAGCCAGAAAGGATGAGCAGCACGGATACGAAACAAACAAGACATGCTATTAAACAGATGATGAATACTAGAGAGAGTATGGGCTGGACGGTTAGGAAATTGTTACGAAAGCGACGCAATGCTTACGAAGCGCGTTGGAAGCCACGGGGGATCCCAAAGAACCCCTTGGAGTCATCACGAGACCTTGCAGAACCCGTATGCGCGGTTAGAAAATGTTGCCGAATGTTTAGAAACGTTTTGGAACCCGCAAGCTATAGTTAGGAAGCCACGCAGAGTTCTTAGAGCACATATAGGAACGTTTGTCTCCTCGTCCTCCTCCTTGTCTCCCCCTCGTCGTATTGTCGTCGTCGATATGGGTGTCGTTGTCTTTCTCGTCGGCCTCGTCATTGTTGTCGTCGTGGCCGTCGTCCTCGTCGTCGTCAATTTCGTCGTTGTCGTCCTCGTCATGGTTCTCGTTCTCTTCGTCGTCCTCGTCGTTGTCCTCGTGGTCGTCTTCGGTGGCGGCGTTGTCTTCGTCGTCGTCGTCGTCGTTCCAGTCGTCGTCGTTGTTGTCGTTGTCGTCGTCGTCGTCCTCGTCATCGTCGTCGGTATCGTTGGTATATTCGTCAAAGTTTTCGTTGTTGTCGTCTTGTCGTCATCCTCGGTGTCGGCATGATCGTCGTCCTGGTCGTCGTCGTCGTCGTCGGTGGCGTCGTCGGTGTCGGTCACGTCGTCGTCGACATCGTATTCACCGTTTTCGTCGTCGTCTCGTCGTTGTCGTAGTCGTCGTCCTCGTCACCGTCGCCGCCGTCGTCGTCGTCGTCCATGTCATTACCCGTGTTTGGCATCGAAGCTTGCGCGCAAGCTTGGGCTGCTTGGACGTGAACTGCGATTGGCACAAAGAGCACGGGATGGGCGCTATTTGTGACGATATTGTCGGTATTGGTGGTATTGTCGCTAGCACGATGCTTGTAGAATGTTTTTTTGGAAGCAGCGTCGGTACTGTCTGGAGAAATCGGGATGATGACGTTGGCATTCGGGGCAGTGCTGGTGGGCCAGCTGCTTCAGTGCATCAATTGGGCAGGTGCGGGTCTGGTTCGATTTCGAGACACGAGAGAAAAAGGCCAGCGACTGACGAAGGCTCGACTCGACATCTTCACTTTGGACCGCTGAGGTTCTGTGCGGTGCTCTATCTCGACAGGCAGAGCAGGCAAAATCTGCACGTGCCGTCACAGTGGCGAAAAGCATGGGGATCCATCGGGTCGGTGGGCCCGCGTGAGCAGCAGGTCTTTAAACACTGCTGTCTGGTTTGGCCCTGGGCTGCGGCCGCAGCATTCAGAGCATTGCTTTTTGCGACCGTCGCTCAAGATAGTGGTGCAGCCCAGGGGCCTCATAAAACCCAGAAGCAAGCAGCCAGGCGCACCGCAGGACAATCCTCTCCTTCAGCATCTTCGCTGGTATTCCCCATGCTGCCTGCGTTGTTGGGTGGATTTGGGGACCTCCCCCGTTCCCGGCCAGATTTGACACTGTTTCAGAGGCGGTTCGCTTGGCTCCAGCACCCCAGAGCGGGGTCGCCAAGGGGTGTTGCACGGCCCGCTTCGCGCCAGGATTGTGGGGATGCCTCGGGCGGTCTGTTCGTTTCGTAATTGGAACTTCTTTGTTTCAGAGCCGATCGCGAGGATGACGCGGGCGAGGCGCTTGTTTTAGCACACCAGGGGGCGAAAGGAGGACCTACATTCGCCCGTTCGAGGTCATATTGTGGCAGTCTCTCAGGGGGGTTGCTCGTTTCGTGGGTGTGGCTTCCCCGTTTTCAAGGCAGATCGCGATGATGCCTCGAACGAGTCAGACGCAAACGCTGGCTTAGACAACCGAACCCCTCTCCGTTCAGAGCCCCCCATTGTAGCAGGCATAGGGGGGATTTGAGAAGCGGCGCCAGGAACAGCTTGAGAACGCAACAGCCGAGGAGGACGAAGAGGAGGAGGAGCAAGATGAGGAGGAGGAAGAGGAGGAGGAGGAAGAGGAGGAGGAGGAGGAGGAGCAGGAGGAGGAGGAGGGGGGCGGTGCTATGGCGGCGCAGGAGCTCGGTGATTTTGAGGAGGACGCAGAGGCTCTGGTGGGCGACTGCGTCGCTGAGAGGCGGCGCGCAAAGGTCTCGCACGCGCTGTTCGCGCGGCTTCCGAGAGCGGACAGGGCGCCCGCGCAATTGGTGAAGATTGCGATCCTGAGGAGGAGGAGGAGGAGGGGGGGAGGAGGAGGGGGGGAGGAGAGGAGGAGGAGGAGGAGGAGGAGGAGGAGGAGGAGGAGGAGGAGGAGGAGGAGGAGGAGGAGGAGGAGGAGGAGGAGGGGGAGGAGGAGGAGGAGGAGGGAGGAGCAGGCTCTGCTGACGTTCGTGGACGCGTTCGGGCCAGGGCGCCGCGCCGGGCCTCCATGCCTTCGGCCCCCCGGCGGAGGACGAGCAGGCCCGCGAGTAGCGCTCGAGGGACGGCGAGGCTCACGGCTAGCTGCCGCTTCTTGATGGTCCGTGGTTCTTGATGGCTCCCCGAGGCATCGTTCCTCCGAAGTTCGCACTGGGAACGCCCAGGCCGGCCCACTCTAGGCCTCCTAGATGGGGTCGGAGTAGATGGGGTCGGAGGATCGCGCCGCATCGGCGATACATCGGCGATGCGGCTCGATGCGGAACCCGATTTTCTCCACGCCGACGTCGCCGATGCGTCGCCGACGTCGGCGATGCATCGTTGGTGCATCGCCGATGCATCGCCGATGCATCGCTGATGCATCGCCGATGCAGCGCGATCCTACGACCCTGTCTACTCCGACCCCATCCAGGAGGCCTCTAGCATCGGGAACGCCCAGGCCGGCCCACGCAGGAAGGGGCCGCTCGGGCGCGGAGCGGCCGAGGATGCAGACTATACGTGCGGCATGTGTTGGCGAGCATGATGTCGGACGTCCACGTCGCGCCCGGTCTTTTCGATGGGGTCGACCTGGTTGCGCGGTCCCGGAGGCCAGTGGAGATCGGCCCGGGGCTCCATGATGCCAGCGCGCAGGACTCTCGAGCGCGGTCGCAGGCGATCCGGGAGCTGCGCAGGGACGATCCCGACGTGTTGCGCCACACGCCCGCGCCCGGGTCGGACGTGCAGGAGCCCTGGAGCAGCGGCGACGCTTGCTCGACCAGCTCGAAGCGGACGGCGTCTAGCGCAGCATCTGGGTGTGCTGCAGGCGCGAGGCCCTGCGCCGGCGCGCGCCGCTGCGCCCCGACGGCAGGCCCGGACGCGTGCCGAGAGCGCTGCTGGCGCTGCGGTGCACGGCAGGGTGCTCCTTGGCCTGGCCTCGGACTTCTGCTGCGCGGAGCGCCAGCGGGATTTCCTTCGCGAGCGCGTTGGGCATGGCCTCTCCGACGGGGGCAGCGCTGCGCAGCGGAAGAGGCTGCAGCTCGCGCTGCCGAACCCCGCGGGGCCCATCGCGCGCGCGGCGGTGGGGGCGGAGCGCGCCCGCGCGCGGCAGCGCGCGGTCGCGGCCAGGTGCGCGGCGGCGGCGGGGGAGGAGCAGTTCACCGAGCTCTGCCGTCACCTTCAAGGTTGTCGTCACCGAGTCTTTGCCTTCATGCGCCTGCTTGGGCGTGGAGGCGGACGGTCGTCGTCCGCGCCGTGGCCACCACTGTCGTGGCAGCCTGGTGGGCGGGGGGGGGGGTCGTCACCGTCTGTCGAGGGCCACCACCCCCAGGCCGAGTGTGTCGTCCTCGTCGCCTTCAAGGTTGTCGGGGGGGAAGCCCCACGGATGTTCAAGTTCATTGCAGTGCCCTGGCCCCGGTGGGCCTTCGAAGCAGGGTGGGTCGCCGGGCAGGCCCCGCCGCCCCCTGTGGTGAGCGGGGTGGGTTGCATCCAATAGAGCTCCAACCTGGAGTGTCCCGCTCGTCCGTCGGGGAGCGGAGGGGCGCGGCGGCGGCGGTCGCATATCGCGACGGAGTGGGGGGAGGAAAGATATCAAAAGGGATGGGTAAATACGCAGGGAGGGGGGTGAGCATGATGAGGAGGAGGGGGTGGAGGAGAGGGAGGAAGGGGAAGACGCCGAGGCGGGGGCGGGGGAGGAGACGACTGAGGGGAACAGCTGCAAGGGGGAGGAGAATGAGAATCAGGATGGTGATGGAAGAGCGAGGGGAGTTGGCGGTGAGGTGGAGGAAAAGGCAGCGGAGGAGGAGGAGCAGAAGCAGGAGGAGCAGGAGAAGCAGGAGGAGCAGGAGGAGGAGATCGACGACGACGACGACGATGACGACGAGGCGGGCGACGACAGCGACCTGGACTGACAAGACGAGCGGGATAACGCGCAGAATGTCACCCCGAGGACCTCCTCGGCTTCTACCTGACACCGCCCGAGCCGAAGTGGGCAGGGGGGGCGCGCCGACTGGTGGGGAGGGGGGCAGCGCGGGCATCCGCGCTCTTCTTCCGTGGCGGCGGGGCAGAGGCGGCCCGCGCCAGCGTGAGGCTAGTGGATCGGGGCAAGCGGAAGGCGAATGCGAGCATCCGCACACGTGCCTACAGCAGTTCTTGAGAGGGTGCGCGTGGACAAGCGATTCACAAAAACGTCAGCACCTCGTCAGTCTCTTCCTGGCAAGAGCCTGCCCTGGCGAGGCGCTGTGTGGGCGAAGTCCTCGCTCTCGTCCTGGCTCTCGCCCTCGTCCTCGCCCTCGTCCTCGCCCTCGTGACGGTCCTGGTCCTCGCCCTCGCCCTCGTCCTCGTCCTCGTCCCCGCTCTCGTCCTCGCCCTCGTGCTCCGGTTTCCCTCGCTCCCGTCCTCGCCTTCGTGACCAGCAAGGGTGACGCTGCGCTGGCCCCGAGGCGGCTCGAGAGCGCCGACGGGAGCAGCCTCCAGGCATCTGCTGGAGATCTCCGCTAGCCCCGATGACGCGACTGAGTGCAAGTATCTTGAAGCCAGATCTAGCTCGGCTTCCACACATCATGAGAGATTTCAGTGGTTTGCTTCAGAAAGTTCGGTCTTTTGCGATGTTTCCCTCCTCTACACCGGCCAAGATAGACGTGGAGGAGTGCTTCATGCCTGGCACTCACGACAACCTCATCCGAGAGGCATCGGCGCCTCTCCTGAGACTACAAATTGGAGCCCATCCCCCGACTTCCGGGACCGCCCCCCCGACTGCATGCCGCCCCCCCGACTGCATGCCGCCCCCCCCCCCAGATTGCGGGGGGGCGTCCCCCGACGATTGGGCCCCCCAGATCTACGGAGGCACTCGGAGCTCGAGCTCTCGGTCGCATGCAATGTCACATTCTTGCCGAACACCTCCCTTGAGGTATGTGGGCTTCAGCGGTACTTCCAAGATTGTAAACTTCACTCGGACCTGTATGGGTCGCGGACATCTGGTCGGGCTCGTCAAACCAAATTGCCGCAACCCCCATCGCGACATCGCGATATCGGCAAGCAGAGTAATGGTATCGAATATTTCCATGTGCTTCTTTATTATGTTGTCGGCTAGCACATGAAGGAAAGCGTCCCGCAGATGCGCCTTTAGCACCAGAGCAAAGCCTCCATCTTTGTCAGTAGGCAAGACCCCCGTAATGCCGAATTATTTTGTGGTCCATCCCGAGTCAGGCTGGGCACTGGGGGAGATGGGCCCACGCGGATTTCCGAGTAAAGTGCTGCTTTCCCCATTTTCGAACCCATGTCCCGAATACAGTGATTGTGCTGGATCAGGCTCGCAATGGAAATTTCGGGTTCTGAAAGGTTTGGCGCGTATGTGTTTCCATGTGTTTTGCGATTGCGCGAAATAAATCCCACATCCCAGGATCCTTCCCTTGTCTTTGGCACCCTGGAAGTCTTTGTAACACGGTCGGATATTCCTATTTATATACTTTGATAGGGCCGGGGACCCTGGACGGAGCCCCCCCCCCCCAAACGAGTTTCGGGCTTCCCCGAGATTTTCGGGCGGTCCCAGAGGCGCCCCAGACGGCCCGAGATACTTCCAAGAGGGGTCCACGAGCGCTCCAAGACAGCCCAAGAACGCTCCAAGAGACCCCAAGACCGCCCAAGACCGTCCAAGGGGGCCCCGAGACGCCCCAAGAGGCCTCCAAGAGGCTTCCCAAGAGGGCCCCAAGAGGAAAATGTCATTGATTTTTGCATGGTTTTCAGAGGTTTTCCTGGTTCTCCCTTTTTCGGGCCAACATCGGCCCGAACCGGCCCAAGAGGCTCCAAAGATGCCCCAAGATAGCTCCAAAGGCCCCCCAAAGAGCCCGAAAACGATCCAAGAGAGTCCCAAGACAGCCCAAGAGGGCTCCAAGACGGGCCCAAGAGAGCCCCCAGAGCGCCCAAAGAGGCACCCAAGAGGGCCCCAAGACGCCGCCAGGGAGCCCCACGACGGCCAAAGGCCTTCAAGACGCTCCAAGACGGCCCAAAAGGGCCTCGAGACGACCCAAGAGAACCCCAACAGGGCCCTAAAAGGGATCCGAAAGGGCCCCAAGAAGACTCCCAAGAGGCTCCAAAACGCTACATAACACCAGGGCTCCCAACACTGAGCTTCAATGGCACCCCCAGAAGCCTTCCAATATTTCTTTTCCTCCATCCTTCTTTTCTCCGAGGAAGAGGACGAGGACACCTGAGGAAAGGAGAAGGAACAACAAGATGAGAACGGTGATGGCGAACACTTTTACTAAGAGCGATCGTTGCTTCGATTGATCAACCTCTCTCTCTCTCTCTCTGTCTCATGCTGCCTGCAAGTTAGAGGTGAGGGGCCAGGGTGCATGGCGCGAAGCGCCAGTGCAGTCTTGTATCTATATATATATATATATATATATATATATATATTCCTTTTTTATATTTTTATAATCCTGGGGGGTGGGACCCCCTCCCCGAAATAGGATCCTCCCCAACCGGGACTTCCGGAAACGGGACCCCTCACGAGGATCGCAGCCTCCGAGCGCGAAAATTAGCGCTCTCCGTCCAAAGAGGAAGGTGAGAGGACACGCGAGGCTCCTTGGACCTCCCGAGAGGCTTTCTCGAGGCTCCTACGAAGGCCCAAGAGGGTCCCAAGAGCCTTCCAGAGTCCTCCGAAGAAGCCCCCGAGAGATGAAAATCAGTGATTTCCTATGGTTTTTCTAAGATTTTTGCTTCTTTGCATGTTCACTGCTCCGACGTGCCAAGACGGCCGAAGACGCCCACAAGACCGATGCCAGACGGCTCAAGAGGCCTCCAAGCGAGTCCGAAACCGGCCCAAGACAGCCCCGACACGGCCCAAGGGGTGCCCAAGACGGCCCCAGAGAGCCCCAAGACGGCCTTCAGAAACGGCACCCCTCACGAGGATCGCAGCCTTCCAGCGCGAAACTGAGCGATCTTCGTCCGAAGAGGCACCTACGAGGGTACGCGAGGGTCCTCGGGTTGCCTTAAAAGCTTCTTAAAGGTTCCCCCGACAGCTTGAGAAGGCCCCACGAACCTCGCAGAGTTCTCTGAAGAAGGCCCCAAGAGATCAAAATCATTAATTTCCTATGGCTTTCCTAAGATTTTGGCTTCGTTGCATGTTCACTGTTCCGACGTGCCAAGACGGCCGAAGACGCCCACAAGACCAATCCCAGAGGGCCCAAGCAGCCTCCAAGCGAGTCCACAGCCGGCCCAACAGAGCCTCCAGACGGCCCAAGCCGTGCCCAAGACGGCCCCAGAGAGCCCCAAGACAAGCTTCAGAGAGAGCTTAAAAGGGAAAAAACATACAATTGCAACGCGCTCGGCTCCCACACGGCCACGCGAGGCCCCAAGCCCCTTCCAGGAGGCCACAAGAAGGGCCACAAGGCGCGCAAAAGGCTTATGATTTCAAGGACTCTGCACCCAGACGCCCACACGAAGCTCCAAGACTCCTCAACGGCTCCCCAGACGTGCCACGAGGCGCCCAAGAGCCGCCAAGAAGCATTCACGAAGTTCCCCCACGACGCCCCACAAGGCCTCTAAGAACCTCCACGAGTTCTCCGAAGAAGGCCTTTATAATCCTGGGGGGTGGGAAACCCCCCCCCCGAAATAGGATCCTCCCCAACCGGGACTTCCGGAAACGGGACCCCTCACGAGGATCGCAGCCTCCGAGCGCGAAAATTAGCGCTCTCCGTCCAAAGAGGAAGGTGAGAACGAAGCCCATACATAACGTTCGTAGAGCCTGCCTGTCCCAAAGTCGCGTCAGCACGCCTCCCCGCGCCCCCCCTGCCTCATATTTTGCAGTATAAAGCTGCATTCTGGTCAGAATCCTGGGTTCGCACCCTTTTTTAAGAAATTTGGTTGCGAACCCGGGATTCGATCAGTTTCCCTCTGAAGTCCTTTTCTTGCATTCCATTTGCCCCTTTCGTTGCTTCGAACACCAAGTTCTCCCACTCCCCCTCCGCAACCTCTGCACATTCGCAATGCGAGCCCGCGAGGACCCCTCGAAGGGACCGCAGGATACCGCGAGAAGCCAGCCGATCCAAAGCTTCAAGGAACAAGATGCATGGCGCGAAGCGCCTATGAGATGTAAATATAATCCGGGCCGCCCCTGTCCGCATCCAGCTAGAGAAATCCTCTCCCGCGCGGACAGACCAGCTGTCAATGGAAGAAAATGCGCTACCATCGCTTGGCGGTCAGGACAATTCGGGGGGCACGCGTGGTGGGAAGGCCCATGGCTGTGAGCGTGGGCCCTCCCAGGCAGAAGACGTTGTGCTCACCGGGCGAGGCACGCCGCCTCTGCCTCCGCGTCCTCTTTGGCCTCGCCCTCGCTGTTGCCTTGGGCGTGGCCCGCCTGGCCACGGCCACGGCTCCAGGACTCCTCGGGCAGCCTGGGGCCGGCTGGCCGGCGGGCTTCGAGCCCTCGCCCTTGCGCTCTTCGAGCCCTCGCCCTTGCGCTCTTCGAGCCCTTGCGCTCTTCGAGCCCTGCGCCCTCGCCGTTCAGCCCCTGCGCTCTTCGAGCCCTCGCCCTCGGGCTTGGCGCTCTCCCCGGCCCCCTGCCGGGCCTCTCCCGCCCCCGCCCCCGCCTCTGCCGGCGGCGGGACGGCCCCGGCCCCGTCCTCGGCCCAGGCGTCGGCCTGCGCCCCGGAGGCCCCCGCCCGCAGAAAGGGGGCCATGGCTGCTGTTCGCGAGGTCTGCGGTGGTCTCGTCTTCGGCGGCGCCGTGGTCTCGCGTCGCCCTCGCAGGCCACCCCGCTGGTGTACCGGCAGAGCAGCCGTGTCCTCGCGCGTGCCTGTTTTTTCCCACCCTGGTCTCTGCGTCCTTCGTGGAATTCGCGCTGCGATCGTCGATGGCCACTGTCAGGAGCTCAGGAGGGGGCTTTGCAGGAGCAGGTTCTGCAATCTTATAACCTTCCTCCGCTTCTCAGGGTCCTTGCGGTCGCGGTCTTCATGCGCTTGCTGTTTTGCAGTTGTTTGGTCAAGGAGTTTGCGATATAGCACCATTAGCTGCGGCCACAGCCTGTCATGAGAGACTTCAAGGCGTGCTTCGCTCTCGAGCTCCAGGCACTCGAAAGGAGACGAACGAGACTCCTCAACTGCAGCGCACTTCTCCACGACCGCGCCACCCTGTGCACGCTCGCGGAAATCTTCCTTTTTGCGCCTCAAGGGCAAGCGTGCCGAGTCTCTGGGCCAGGAGGCACTTGCCATGGAGTCATTGCCCGACGTCGCTGATGCTCTCGCGTGCCAAGTCGATGGCAGTCGTGGCGTCTGGCCGAGGGGTCCCGTGACTCAGCGAGAGAGGTCCCAGGCCAGCGGGGACCCCCTCCACGGTCCGGGCTGTCCATCTGCTGCCAGTGCTGCTCCGTGCGGCTCACGACCTCCTGAAGGTGCTCGATGGTCGTCAGGAGCGCTATGTATTGATTTGATTGCCAAGGCCTTACGGCCAGTGCCGCCGACCCTGACGACGACGACGAATACGAGGAGGAGGAGGAGGAGGAGGGGGATTCAGGTGGAAGGGAGCAGGAGATCCATCTGCTGCTGGTGCTGCTCCGTGCGGCTCACGACCTCCTGAAGGTGCTCGATGGTCGTCAGGAGCGCCATGGATTGGTTTGATTCCAGTGCAGTCCCATGTTGAGAAACACCCTGCTTGTCTCCATTGTGCCCTGGGTTTCTTGGGTTTCGACGGTTTTGCTATGGAAGGCGTGACGTTCCCACGCCAAGAATCGATGGGCCTGGGGTCGCAGGGTTGGGTGTCTTGTGGAAGGTGTCTTGTGGTCGGGCCCCTACTGTACCGACTTGCTTTCGGCTGGGGGCGTGCGAAGGTTGTTTTCGATCCTTTCCCGCAGAAGTTTGTTGGCACGATTTGGCACGGGCGTGTCGCCAAGAGGTTGCATGTTCTGCCCATCGCCAGTTGTCGAGTCGCGCTGCCGCCTCGGCGAGCGGTCGTGCTCTTCATCAGCGGCCGTTCTTGATTGAGGTGTAGGTGGAAAACGGATCCTGGCTCCAGGGTGTAGGTCCCGACGTGACAGACCAGCACGGCCGCTTTGGCTCTGATTGCCAGCGTCCGCTGAAAATGCCATGGCCGACACTAGAAGAGTGTAACAATATTAACCGTAAGATGATGCGTTCCTTCTAGCGCTGAAGCGCCGAAGCACTTCGTGACCAAAAAGGCTGGCTCGCACGGGACTTGCCCGTGGGTAGCCTCGTTTGTTTAGCGTTTTCAGGCCATCGTATTACGGACAGCAGGAAGGCAAACATATTTCTAGCAATGTACGTGAACAAGCATGGCAACATGTATTGTCGGTTCCATCATTGTCCTTTTCAGATGATGTGCCGTGCATCTATCTGTCTGGGACGGGGTTGCGACATTAAGCGCGGAGGCGGACCGAGACTAGGTTATCCAAATTGATTTTCAAATTTCTTCAAAGGAGAAGGTGGGCCATTCGATTTCACTTGGCTCGTGAAGCGAACGACACGCGCTCGAGCTATCAGGCACAGCATCGAATCTGCGGGAAAAAGCATGATATGTCTTCTCTCTGTCTATCTATATCTCTCTCTCTCTCATCTGCTCGTCTTTCTTTGCTTCTTCTCACTGCCACTCCACGTCGCTAGGCACCAGAAATCGCCGCGACGCCGCACGCTGCACGATCTCAACCACTTTGCATTGGCGTGTATCCGTGATGCCAAGGATGCCCGCATCAGGAAATGTCGTAATCCACAGAGAACCGCAGCATGGCACGCGGCAGTTAAACATTATTGCTCGCTGTAGCTAGATATCCTTCACCTCCTCCTCCTCCTCCGCAAGTTTCGCTTGAAGATTAACGGACAGCGGGTCACCAAGTACAGAGACTGTTGGTGATCTCATCCCTTTCCCTTGCATGGCGTATGTATTATTTGATGTTTTCCCGCATGTGCATGTTCGTGGTATTTCTATGCCATGCGCCGTCTAGGCGCGGCTTCTTGTGTGTGAGAGATAACACAAAAGAAAAACAGCGTCCCCGCAAAAACAGATGCGGCATGAAACTTGTGATGGGATGTTATGCAGTATGCACTGTGAATATCTCGCATTGCTTTCTGGCTGGGGTGATGGGCTGAGGGGGGAGGGTCTGGTCCCTGGTCGGCGGCCACTCGAGTGGGGAGGGTGCGTCTCATTGATTTGGGCATAGATAAGGCCCAGAGGGCTCCGCGTCAAGTACGCCCACTGCTCTCTGAGGCCAATGCGGTCAGCGCGCGCACTCTGTTCTGTCATGCAGTCTCCGCTCGGGCTGCCTGGGCCCCGGCATGCAGCCCAGCAAGCCGGCGGCGAAATCCGAACCGTACCATGGCCGATCAACGATTCAGGCAACTCGGTGGGCGGCGGGGGTAGGGTTCGGAATTCGTCGAACACGTAGCGAAATCCGAGCTCTACACCCGCCTCCCATCGACTCAGGAGAATCAATGGTTGTGGGGGTAGGGTTCGGACGTCGCCGCCCAGCAAGGGTCGAATAACAAAACACTTGCATTAACATAAGCTGTTGGTGGTTCGCCCGGATTTCTTGCATCCGCGCTGGACCCCCCCTCCCTGGCGCGCGGAGCGCGCCAGAGGCGGCGCGGGAGGCGCCGACAGGGGGACCCGGCGCAGATCCAAGATCTCCGCGCTGTGCCGTTATGTCTCCCCCTACAGGGTCACGGGGTCCTGTGTCTCGTCCTCCTCTCCCCCCTCGCTCCCCCCTCGGATGGGGTGACCTGGCATCGCTCGGACATGTGCATGTTTCCTTCGGCGAGGACCATCGAGGAGCATCCTTGACCATTCGGCGAAGAACCACGCACGAAGCCTTTTAAAGCACAGGGAATGGACGTCCGAGCGATGGCCAGGTGAGGAGCAGGGGCGAGCGCCGCGCGGAGGTGGCTGCCGGACGGCTACGAGGACGACGACGTGCAGGCGGCGCCCTGCCGCGGCAGCCGTGCGGGATCGGAAGCGCACGCGCGACACGCCACGCCAGGGGTGCGGAGCCCTCTGGACTGCCTGCCGCGGCCTCGGGAGCCTGCGGGGCCCCGCTCTCCAGAGGCCCCCGTCGGCCTCCGCAGGCCCCCGGCGACTTCCCGAGGCCTCCATGGAGGCCTCCAGGGGCCTCCAGAGCAGAGTCCAGCCCCTCCTCGTCGTCCTCCCCTTGCCCCCAAGGCCTCGGGGGGCGTGTTGCGCTGCTGGCGGCAGCGCGCGGCGGACACTGCCGTTCACGCAGCGCGGGACCGGGGAAGGGGTAACGCGAGGAAGAGCGGGCCCTCAAAAAGCACACAGCATGAGGCTTATGATATGAAGCCGGGAGGAAGCGACGAGGAGGAGGAGGAGGAGGAGGAGGAGGAGGAGGAGGAGGAGGAGGAGGAGGAGGAGGAGGAGGAGCAACAGCAGGAGGAGGCGGAGGCGGAGGCGGAGGAGGCGGAGGATGAGAAGGAGGAGGAGGAGGAGGAGGAGGAGGAGGAGGAGGAGGAGGAGGAAGAGGACGAGGGAGCAGGGAACAGGAGAGAGGAGGGAACAGGAGGGAGGAGGGAACAGCAGGGAGGTCGAAGGAGGAGGGAGCAGGAGGGAGGAGGGAGGATAAGGAAGGATGGAATACGAAGAAGGGAGGGAGCAAAACCGCGTAGGGGGCAACTGACGCCAGAATGGAAAGTTGAAATGGTGTGGAGTTACGCTGAACCCCTCCCTGCAGCAGTCTTCGTTGGCCGAGGGACTGCAGGGCTGTCCTCGGCCCCCTCCAGTGCCAATTGACGGCAGGATTCGAAATTGACTGGTGGGGGTTGGAACCCAAGCAGCCCCAGTGATGGAAGCTGCGAGGGGTGTGAGGCCGATTGACGGTCTTCTCCGGCGAGGCCTGATGACGGTTCTCGCCGAGGGGAGGGGGGAGAGGGAGGGAATGGGGCGTAGAGACGATGTCGTCCGCGATGCGCCCTAGTGCTGAGGCGGGGATTCCTGAAAGTGTGGGGGAGCAAAACGCAAAAACGGCATGCACAGCTTCGACTCCGAACTGAGTAGGCCCTGTGCGCTCTGTATCCCACGGGGGGGGATAACGAGTGCGCACGCTCACGCTCTGGTACGTACCGATTTGTTGCGCCCCCATGGGGCGGGCGAGATGCGCCCCCCCCCGCCCCCAGGGGCAAGCCGAGGGCCCCCGGGGACAGCCGCGCGCCGCCGAGAGCCTTCCCGAGGAGGGGCAGGCATCCCCCGAGTCAGAACCGAGAGGAAGAAGCCCGCGACGTTGCACCCGAGTCGAGGGCAGACGCCATCGGCCACGCGGCCAGGACGCGAGAGCTTGCGCTGCGTATGCAGCGCAGCCCCTTGCGATCCCCCCCCCACGCGCTGGAGGTAGAGCATCCTTGGAGAGCTCGGTTAGGGGGTCGCGGCCGATGAGCAACAACAGAAGCCTCGACGGCGCTCGCGGCATCCTGGCAGGAGACCTTGAACAAGCGTCCTGGCAAGCGACCCGACGCTAGAAACTGGAGTGTCGAAGGAAGCCCGGCCCCGGCCACCCCCACCAACCCCCTGAACGGGGAGGGGAGGGCGGAGGAGGCGGGGGGGCCAGGCAAAGGGATGACACGTGTAAAGGTTGGGGGCGCCAGAGTGCATCGGTGAACTGACGTTTACAGGCACAGTCAGCCGGCAGGGGAATAAACCTCGTTCACGGCATCAAGGAGGGAGGGAGGGAGGGAAGGAGGGAAGGAGGGAGGGAGGGAGGGAGGCAGGGAAGGAGGGAGGGAGGGGAGGGAGGGAGGAGAAGGAGGAGGAGGAGGAGGAGGAGGAGGAGGAGGAGGAGGAGGAGGGAGGAAGGATGGAGGATGGAGGAAGGATGGAGGAGGGAGGAGGGGATAGGGGGGTGGGGTGCGAGAAGAGCCACGGCACGCCAGGACCGCCCGGCGCAGCTGGAGACTCCGAGCCGCCCCCCCCGCCCGCGGCTTCCCGCGAGGCCAATCGCAACGAGATCCCTGTCGCCGCCTCGGCCCATCGCCGGTTCCATTCCAGGGAGGAGGAGGGGGTCTGGGCCTCCTAGATGGGGTCGAAGGATCGCGTAGCATCACCGAGACATCGCCGATGCGGCTCGATGCGGAGCCCGGCTTGCTTCACGTCGACGTCGCCGATGTATCGCCCACGTCGCCGGGCCATCACTGGTGCATCGCCGGTGCATCGCCGATGCATCGCCAATGTATGGGCGATGCGGCGCGATCCTTCGACCCCATCTACTCCGACCCCACCTGGGAGGCCTCTAGGGCGGCAGGGGGAGGATAGGGGAACGAACAATGACGTAAACATAAAAACTCGGAGGTCCGCGCGGATTTCTCGTATCGGCGCTGGAGACCCCTGGCGGCGCCTCCGTCGCCGCCCCTGGCTCGCTCCGCGCGCCCGAGAGGGGGGTCGAGTGTCGAGCGCCGGTCCGAGAAATCCGCGCGGACCTCTGAGTTTGTAGGTTTCCGTCATTGTTCGTTCGCCTAGAGGAGGGGGGGGCGGGCAGGAGGGTACGGTCGGGAGCTCTATCTAGTCTATGTCGCTCCGCCGGTTCTGGCCCACCACGCTTCGGAGCGCCACGCTGTCCACGTCGCCGTCCCCGAGCGTCTGGGTCCCGAGCCTTCCCAAGCCTCCCGCCCCGCGGAGCGGAGCGCCATGCTATTCGCTCGCAGGGCACAGCGTGTTGCCGTGGCCGCCGCCGCGACACGCTAAGCACAAGTTCCTGACCGCAGTCCAGGCATCATTGAGGCGCAGGCACGGATTGACGGCGCGTGACGGGCCCCGCTTCCGTGCAACTTCGGCGGGCCCCGTCGCCAAATCAGGCGGCACTGGCGCCATGTGAGCGACGCAAACAGCGGGGGTCGTCTGCGCCGACACTGGCGCGCAAGCTGCCCGCGCAGGGTCGCGCGTGAGCGCCCTCGTCTCCAATGAGGCGTGCCGTGCGGGCGGCCCGCGTGAGCCACCGCGGAAGGTCGCTGCGTCATCTCGCGCAAGACCCGTTTCTTCTCGTCGGTCGTGTGTCGGGGGCTCCACCCCCCGATCCGTGGATCTGGCGCCCACGCGCCCACGCCCCACGGACCCCGAAGCATGTCCCGCGCGTGCCCCAAGGAGGGGCGCCCAGGGCTCCGCGAGCACGGCACGTGCCCCAACCCAGCTTCGGACGTCCTCGCCCCACGGACGCGCCGCACAGGCCCACGTGGGGGCGGGCCGCCGCTGCTTCGCGCGGCCTGGCGACCCAGCCACCCTGGCGACCCGGCCACCCCGGCGACCCTGCGGCTCTCGGTGACCCGGCGACGGGCCCGGCGATTCGGCGGCGGGCCAGTGGATGGACACTGCATTCGAACCCTTCCGCATTCGAAGGAGATTCTAAATCACCCCGGGTCGAGGGCCGCATGCCCCGGCATGCCCCAGGAGGTTTTCAAAGGCAAAATCTATACTGACGGGTCCTGCCTGAAGCAAGGATTTGCTGCAGTAGTGATCGGCGATCAAGGAGAGCTTGAGGGACAGTAGACAATATATTCGAACCCTCACGCATTCGAAGGAGATTCTAAATCACCCCCACGCCCCCGACATCAATGTTGATCTCAGTGAAGGCGGTTCTTTGGGGTTCAAATATTTCTGCCCACTCACGCCCCCCCCCCGTCGTCACGCCATCAATATTGATTTCGGGGGGTCTGGGGGGCATCTTAGGCCACAGGGTTCGAATCTAACGTCCATGTATGGGCCCGGCGGCCTAGCGCTCGGCGGCCCAGCGGCCTGGCGACCCGGCGATCCAGCGGCGACCAGGCGACCCATGCAGCTCTCCCGGCGACCATAGGCGATCCCGGCGGCCCGGCGGCCCGGCGGGCGCGACTTGGCGCGCCCTGCGCGACCCGGTGATCCGGTGATTCGAGATTGCCCCCCCCCCCCCCCCTCTTGTCCAAATCACCCACAAGTTTTTAAGACGAATGTGCGCGACACTCAGGCGAGAGCCACAGTTTGAAGATGTCTCGCCCTGCATCCGTGAAGCTGTTGCGAATGTCAAGCTTCAGGATCATAAGCGGTGCGGAAATCACTCAAGTCTCAGGCAAAGAGCCCGGCCCGCCCTACCGACACGCCTGGGAGTGCAACAGGGAGGAGTTGCTTATAAGGAGTAGGGATCGAGGACGACGACGACGACGACGACGACGAGCGTACAAGCGTACAAAGAGAGGAGGACGAGGGTGGGAAGATGAGGATGAGGCCGATCGCGCGGATGTGCCACCGAGGGAACGCTCGGCTGCCCCCCTTGCCCGCTTCTCTACTCCCTGCCCCCCCCCTCCATGGGCGCGGAGGGGGCTCCCCCGAGCGCCTGGCCCGAGGCGCTGCTCGAGTTGGTGGAGGTGAAGAGGACTCCAGGGAGGAACAGGCCCAGACCACCTCACGCCGACAAAGCCAAAAATAACACGACGGAGGGCTTTTCCCCCATCCGTCGTGTGGTGCTGGTCCTCGCTTTGACGAGACAGCGCCTCGCGTCCACTCCTTCCCCCCGCTGCCCCCTTTTCCTTCCCTCCTCCTCCCTCCTTCCATGCCTGCCTCCCCGTCCCTGTTTCTGCTTTCCGTATATCAACCATGTCGGCGCACCCCCCACACACACACGCTTCGTGCCCCCACAGGGAGCTCCACCGAGGCCCCCAGGAGGGGGCGGTCGCATGCAGTTCTCCACCCACTTCCGCACACCTCTCACACGTTTCGTGCCCCCACATGGAGCTCTACCGAAGCACCCCGAAGAGAGGTTTCGCATGAGGTTCTCCACCCACGTCGCCACACCCATCACACGCGTTGTAGCCCAGTAGGGAGCTCCACCGAGGCCCCCGGGCGGGGGGCGCCGCATGCGGTTTTCCACCCGTCTCGGCTCGCCCCTTACACGTTCGTGCCCCTACAGGGCAGGGAGCTTGACCGAAGCCCTCGGGAGGAGGCGGTCGCATGCGGTTCCGCCGCCCATTTCAGCACACCACTCACACGTTTCGTGGCCACCGAAATCCTTAGTGGTAGGGTCCGCATGCGTGACCGTCTCCGCGCCGATTTCGGCACACCCCTCACACGCCTCGTGGCCCCATAGGGAGCTGCACCGAAAGCGGTATTCACAACTTGGTATTCACAACTGTGCATGGTTGGGTCTTTCGCCCAGGTTGTTTGTTTTTGCCAATTTCGCTTTCTGGGGCCCTCACTTACCCCTTACCCTGGGGCCGTCCAAGGCTCAGGGTGAAAAGCGGGCCACAGGGAATCAGTCGAGACTTGGCTGGTCTACGTTTCGAACAAGTCACGACGTCGGGGTTCTGCGGATAGCGACGCCGCTACCCTTTTCCCGTCGCCCCAGCCAGATCCGCCCCGAAACGCTGGTCAGAACCCATCCCGGGAGGGGCCCACGGGGCAGCGGTATGCGTCAGCATGTCTTGATTCCCCCGGAGGAGGGTGCAGCCCTCCAGCCACTTCATCGCGCTGCACCTGTCCGCGGAGCTCGTGCTCGAGGAAGCCGGCGGCGGAGGAGGAGGAGGAGGAGGAGGAAGAGGAGGAGGAGGAGGAGGAGGAGGAGGAGGAGGAGGAGGAGGAGGAGGAGGGTGGGAGGCCGGGGAGGGCAGGCTCCCGGCGGGGGCCGGTGCGGCGGCCCAGCGTCGGCCTCCACAGGCGCAGATAGAGAAGCGGCAGGGCAGGGGGTGCCTCCTCCTCCTCCTCCTGCTCCTCCTCCTCCTCCTGCCTCCTGCCTCCTCCTCCTCCTCCTCCTCCTCCTCCTTCCTCCGCTTCCTCCGTGGCCACTGTGGCTCAAGGTGGTGGTCATTGCCCGCGGCAGAGCACGGAAACACCTCGGTCCAGGGGCAGCATCGGGCTGCGGCTTCCGCCTTCTCGCGCCCGCGCGGTGGAGCTTCATGTCCATCGCCGCCGCAGCGGCTGGCGGCTGGCACTCATGTCGCGCGTGTTCGTTCGAGGCCGCCGCGGGCTTCGTACCTGCGCGATAATTAGTCACTTGGAGAAGATGAATCGGCTGCCAGAAAATTTGTTCCTCACGAGCGCGGGGACAAACGCCGAGATCCCTGGGCTGCAAGTGCAACCAAGCTTCCCGCTCGTGCACTACTTGCATATGTGCGGAAACATCCCGAAGGAGCCATGGAAGAAAATCACAGAAGCGACTTCCAGATTCGAGGCCACCGCCAAGTCCGCCACCGCCGCCGCCAGCGAGGAGTTCGTCGAGTCGCTCACCGCCATCACAGCCGACTTTAGCAAGACGCACGAATCCACGGAGCGCACCCTCACCGACGCCACTGTCCGCACATCAGTCTTGGAAGCGCAGACTGTGCAGCTCAAAGCATCGGCCGCCAAGCTGGAGAGCCTAGCTTCGCAAGCAGATGCCCGTGCTCCTGCCTTCAACTTCGATAGCATCGGCACCTAGGACAAAGACCCCGATTCGACGACATTCTGGTGCAGCAGCCCGGAAAACTTCAATCAGCCTGAACTGGAAAGAGCCCTCGTCGACTGGCTCCGCGCCGCTAGCGTCGACAGAGCCCGCATCGTCTTCAACACCGTCGGCCTCGCCAAGCGCCAGTCCTTCCAGCTCAGCGGCGGCACTGTGGTGGCAGAGCCTCGCGCACAACGCCTTCACGCCGCTCTTAAGATAAGGTCAGCCTGGAGATCGTTTTTTTCCCATCGCTAGCAACAATGGTGCTTTCACCCCCTGGCAAGAGCCCGAAGATGCGAATATGATTTGCAAAGAAGCACGCGCAAGCCAAGCGCCTCTCCAATATCATGCAAATCAGGACTCCACTCGTCAGCCTCCGCGTTCGTCGGTCTTCTGGCTACGTATCAGATCGCGGTGAGGCTTTGGTGCATCTGCGCACGGAATCCGCTGCCGAAGTTCCCGCGCGCCTGCAGTGGTCCAGCGCTGGCTCGGCCCGAGGGTCGACGACGCACTCCAGCTCGCCATCCGCGCTGAGTTCGCCGACAATTTCGCGCGCTCCATCACAGCTGCGCAGCGGCTTCAGCCATCGCTGGGGCCCGCGGCTCCTGCAACCATCCCAGGTGGTCCTGAGAATCGCTCGCTGGAGCGCTTATTCTCTCCATGGGCGATCAGATCAACGCTGCGACGGCATGCGCCGTCCTTTTCTTCCTTGCGTCGGCCAACGCGCGCTGCTCTTATTGCAAGACACGCGCGGCGCCATCGTGGACCTGCATATGCTCGCCAACTCGACGCATCACGCCTACGAGCCTGCCCAGTCGTCCGTGTTCCTGGACGGCGAGACCATCGCCGACGCGGGCGGCATCTGCGCCCCCATGCCGCGCGACATACGCGAACTCCAGCTTCCACCGAAATGGCGGCTCCAGAGCAGGTCGTCTGCCCTGGCCGCGCCGCCTGGCTGTCGCGGGCGCCAGCCTTCGGTGCGACGTCGCAATCCTCAGCATCCACAACCATGGTCTCTCATTCTCTCATTCTCTCATTCTCTCTCTCTCTCTCAGCCGTTCCGGGGCCCAGATCTGGGCTCTTGCTAACGCTAACTTCGGAACGGCCTGCGTTAGCGAGCCAATCGGCTTGCGGGGCCTTCTCTCACGGCTTCCGGCCTGCGATGGATGCCGCCGGCGTGCCACTGGTTCCCGGGCTGCAGCCTCCTCGGCGTGGCGGCCAGCGTGGCCGGCGCAAGGGCCGCAAGGAGAAGGACTACCGCAAGACCAGTGACACCTACACGGCGTGTCCTTGCGGCCACTACACGTGGGACCACTTGCTCGCGAAGCGTGGCGGGCAGTGCGTGCGCTGCCGCGCGCAGCTTGTGCCCCCACCGTTGGTTGTTTTGGATGCTGACCCTGGTCATGGGCATCGCAAGCCGGGTGCTACAGGCCTCTCTTCTGAGACGGTGGCCCAGCTGCGCGAGATGGCTTCCAAGGTCCCTGAAGAAGAAGCGAGGGCGATGTTGTCCCCATGCGGCATGGCGCTGCAGGCTTCTGTCAAACAGCCCGAGTTGCCTGAGACCGAGTACGTGCAGGCGCAGTCTGCCAAGCGCGAGGCGCAGCGGCAGGTTGATCGGGCCTTGGGCGCCCGCAAGCGCCTGGAGCAGCAGATCAAGGACGCCGACAAGAGGCTGGACGACGCTGTGGCGGCCGATATGCAGGCGGCCGAGGTGGTGGCAGCTGCTGCTAAGCGTATCTCTGCTCGTGTTCTGCCTTCCGAGCCGCCCAAGTCCGCGGCCCACATGGGCGCGCTGCTGCGGGACGGCGGGAAGGCCATCACTTTGGAGCTCGGCGAGGAGTTGGACCTCTCTGGACCCGAGTTCTCTGACGAGGACCGCGACGCTTTCACGAAATTCAAGAATGACATGTTGGAGAAGGCCTCCAAGCTCATCACCGAGTCCTTGGCTGGGGTCGTGGACAAGGCGAAGGAGCACAAGGAGGAGTACGCCAACCGGATTGGCGAGCTCAAGAAGAAGCGCAAGCATAACAATGGCAACCCTCAGACGGTTCGCCCTTCGGTGCCGGGGGGCGCGGGGGCAGCTGCGTCCGGCGCCCCGGGAGGAGATGGCGCTCAACCTGAGGCGCCTGAGGATCCTGAGCGGGCAGCCTATATGGCAGCAGCGAAGGCACGCGTTGCTGTCCGCAAGGCTGAGACCGAGGCCGCCCCGGCCGCGGGCTCTGCCGCGCCATTTTCCTAGCACAGTTTGCTCCCCTCCCTCCTGCTTGACCTCTCCTGCGGCCCCTCTGCCCTTTAAGACTCCGGCCCCAAGTCTGCGAATGATTGTTGCCAACATCTCCCTCTGGGGACCCTCAGCAAAGCGCTGGTTGGCAGAGACCTCGGCAGACTTAGTTTTGTTTTCGGAGCATAGGCAGATCGGTAGCGATTTTGATTCGATGGTCAAGTTTTTGCACCGTTCGGGATGGAGGGTGGTAGCGAATCTAGCCGACACCACATCAGCGCTTTCAGGTAGCGCTGGAGTTTTGATTATTAGTCGATCACATTTGCAATTGAGCAACCTTGCTAGGCTGCATGAAGAGTGGACGGATGCGAGTTGCTCCCGCTACATTTTTGGCACTCTGCGATTACGGGGTGTTGACGTCACTATTGTTTCTGTCTACCTGCACGCTTGCATCGGCCTCACGGGTCTTAATCTCTCTCTGCTCTCCGAGCTCGGCGTTCTCATTTCGAGAGCGGGCGCGCCCGTCATAGTTGCGGGTGATTGGAACATGCGGCCCGAATTGTTGGGTGATTCCGGATTCTTGGCTAAGGCTGGTTTGGCAGTTGTCCCCATGCCAAACGTTGCCGCCACGTGTGTTGGCGCTGGCACTCCTAGCCTCATTGATTTCTGCTGCGTGAGCAATATTTTCATGGATGCGATTGAGTTTGATGGCATCGACCCCTCAGCCCCGTGGGGAACCCATAGTGCTCTGAGCTTCCGCATTTGTGCTGCTCCGCGCCAGCTTGAGGTGTTGAAGATAATGCAGCCGAAAGCTCTTTATATGAAAGGTGTTGTGGGTCCCGTGCTACCCTGGGTGAGCGCCATAGCTCAGGCTAAGCTTATGTTTCATTCCAGTGGGCGGTTTCGTGGATCCAGCTCGAGCGCTTGGCATGAGTCATTGCTTGTCCATGATGTGCCTCATTGTGCGTTAGGGTTGGGACATCAATTGTCTGAGTGGTGCATTGCGGTTGAATTGGAAGCTTGTTATCGTTTGCAGCTTCCTCTTGATTCTTGGAAGGCCCATGTCGGGCGTTGCCAGCCTCCTCGCATTCGCCGGGTCCCTCTGCTACCGAAGACGGTGCCAGCTCCCAATGTTTCGGATCGTCTTGCACGTTTTTGGCAGGCCTTGGGAGTGCATTTGCATATGTTGCTTAAGCTCTGTGAGGAGGTGGACCCTTCGTGTCCACCTGAGCCCGTGCCGTGCTGCGCTGCGCAGTTCTGGTCTATTGTTCGGACGTGCCAGGCTCTTGAGGTGCCACCCCCGGCTAATCCCGATGATAAGAGCGAGGTCGCCGTTGTTCAGATGTGGCAGCGGCGCCTGTCTGAGCTCTCTGGCACTGCGCTGGATGGCGTTGAACAGATGGCCGAGGAGGCTGCCGCCATGGGAGCCAAGATGGCCAGAAAGGCCGCCTCTGTTCAGCGTGCTTCGTGGCGATATTGGCTTCAGGAGGCCTTGTCGCGCTCCGCGGGCCCAGCGCACAGTCTCCTCAAGAAGGGTGTGGTCCCTCTCGTTAGTGACCGTGCGTCGGATGCTAAGTTGCACTCCAATGTTGAAGAATTGCTCGACTTTGAGGCATCGGCTTGGTCGTCTATTTGGCGGCAGCATTCTGAGAGTGAAGCTCGCAGTATCTTGGCGTCGTTGCGCGTGCGCGCCCGCGAGGCCCCTCGCCTCGAGCCAATCACCCTGGCCATGTTGGAAGATGCGGTCAAGACCATTCCTGATAGAAGGGGCCGCGGTTGTGACCATGTCCCTCCTCGATTGCTCAAGGAGGCCAGCGTTGATGCTAAGAAGGCTTTCGTTCAGCTGCTCGCGTCCATAGAGGAAGAAGCCACTCTTCCCATGCAGCAGCTTTTCAATGTCATTGCGCTCCTTGAGAAACCAGGCGGGGGGCGTCGCCCCATTGCGCTCATGGGTTTTTGCTATGTTGTATTGTTGCGGATCCACAGGCCGCGCGTGCAAGCCTGGGGCCGCGCATATCACGGTCCATGGGACAGAACGGTAAGAAGTTCTGCCGAGGCCGCCGGCTGGCTGGACGAGTTGGAGTCTGAGCTTGCCCTGCATCAGGGTTTCCAGGTCGCGGGCTTGTTGTTGGACCTTCGAAAATTTTACGATTCCGTGTGCTTGACCGATCTTGTGGACGCGGCAATTGAGCTTAATTATCCGCTGAGGCTTCTGGCCCTCGCCCTTGATTCATATTTGGGCGCGAGGATTTTGACGCTCACAGGTTGCATACACAAAGGCGTCTTGCCGAGCGGAGGCATTCTTCCAGGTTGTGGCCAGGCTGTCTCACTGTCCAGGGCTTTCTTGTTTGCTCCTCTCGATGCTGCCTCCAAGTCCGTGTCGGGACAGTCATTGCGGGAATGGGTTGATGATGTATATTGTCGCTTGTATGGCACGCATGCGTCTCTTGTTGCCACCTTTCCTGTTCTGCTTAGGGCTCTTCTGACTGGGCTTCGCAAGCGTAAGGTACAACTCTCCCTTGATAAATGCGGGGTGCTGGCCTCGTTCGCGAGTCTCCGTCGCGAGCTTGTTTCTTCGGCGCGACAGCAAGGATTTGGCGATATCAAAGGTCTTGCGACTGCACGGGACCTGGGCCATGACGCCAGCTTAGGTGCCAGACGCACCGTTGTGGCCCGGCGCGCTCGCATGCACGCTGGCAGCAAGGCGTCGGCGAAAATCAACCGCCTTTCATCTTCTAACCGGGATGCGTGCAAGCTTTTCCGCCCGAATGCTTATCCTAAGAGTTGTTGGGCGTCTGAGGTGCACGGATTGGCACCGCATATGATAAAGCGATTGCGAGCTATGGCTCATGCGTCCAGCCGCTCCCCCCAGAAAGGCACCTGCTGCGCCACGGCCCTCCGCCTTACGTATGGCCCTGGGTGCGACCCTGCCCAGGTCCACGTGAGGAGGGTCGTCAGCACGTGGTACAGCAGAACGGCTGGGGGGGGGCCCTTTTTGACCGTGTCCAGCAGTCCTGGGATAGGTCGCTCGAGCTTGTGCGACGTGGATGGGGTTTTGTTCGAGGGCCGATGGGAGCTTTCCAAGCCACGCTGATATCTCTCGGCTGGCAGTGCCCTTCGCCGACTGAGGTGCATGATCCCACCGGGGAAGTCTGGCGGATGGTGGGCTCGGGCGAGGGTCCTGTGACTGCTCTTCTCGAGGCGTTCGATGTCCATCTTGACGCTGCGCACTGGCGTGCAGCCGCGTCTTTTCATGACGGAGGAGGCGCGGAGACTGGCGTCGAGTGGACACACGTGGCGGGACTCATTCGGCGTGTTGCGAAAGAGGGTGATTTGGCGCTCTCCCGTATGATTCGGCTAGTTGCCTGCGGCGGTTATTGGCCAGAGGAACGCAAGTACTCTGCTAAGATTGCTCCTGATCCTCTGTGCCAGCAATGTAGTGCATGCGTTGACTCGTCTAGTCATGCATTCTGGGGCTGTTCTTGTCACGCCACTTCGTCTTGTGAGCACATTTCCAAGAGCAATGAGCTTTGCCAGCAGGCCCTTGACGGCATTGATGAGCACCCTATATTTTGGTGCCGCGGTCTCATTCCCAAGGGTTGGCTTCGTCTTCCCGGGGCTCCGGAGGATCGGGCGTTGGAGTTTTTCCGATGCCCTGACGGCCCTCTACCCGGAGGAGTTTACGGCGGCGATGGCGCTGGAGGGCGCTTTGCCACCGATCCCATCTTGCGTCGTGTGACCTTTGGCTTCGCGCGCCTTTGCGTTGTTCCAGATCTTGATTGGGATTGCGGGGCGCATGGAGTGCTGGACAGTCAACGTCAGACGGTGCCGCGCGCTGAGTTGGTTGCCATAGTGGAGGTGGTGCGTCGCGTGGCAGTTGATCAGCACTTGACGGTGGTCACTGACCACATCAATCACCAGAGAGCTTTTCATAAGGGACGTCATCACACCCTTCGGTTGCAGAGTGCTGACTTGTGGTGGGAGCTCTGGCAAATGCTCGATTTGCGGTCTGGGTTGTTCGATTTAGTTTACTCGCCTAGCCATTGTGCCGATGATGAAGCGAAGTTTGCTCGTCTTGCGAGTTCTCTGAACCCGCAACATCTTTTCATTAATGCGATTGCGGATGCTCTGGCCACGGCGCGGGCGGCGAGCGCCCAGATCCCGGCCGACGTGGTTCGGGAAGTCGTTGACTTTGAAAATCTGGCTTGCCGCATCTTGCGACGCAATGCTTCCATAATTTTGGAACGTGCCAGGGGGCCCAAGAATCCAGCACGCATTGTTCATCGCGTCCAGCTCCCGCGCGTGGTCCGCCGGCGCAGGGTTGCGGTCGCACTTCTTGAAGCTTCCAGCCACAATTTCGAGCCTGTGGCCAAGGACATGGAGGTGCACAGCGTGCAACAAATTGTTGCAACCTGCCTCTCGTTTGTTTTTCCGAACGGTTCGTTCGCAGTGTGCAGCCCTTGTGCAAACTGCGCCTCCCACTCCTGAGTGTCCAAGGCGGGCCAGAGGGCGGCGAGCGGGGGGCTCGCAGGTCGGCAAAGCACCAATCGATGATGACCTTTGGTGTAGGCTTGGAATGACCGACCCCCCTCGACGTTTGCCTGCCCCTGCCTACGTCCACGGGCACAGGGTGCATGATAGCCACGCTGCCTGGAGTAAAGGCCGTTTCACCTTCTGTGGATTGCGCGGATGCTGGGCTGAATCTAAGCCCCGAGATTTGCTCAGGGAGTGCCCAGTAGCATCGAATGGCACGGCGGTCCTCACAGCTTATAACTGTGGGGCGCTGGGGAGGCTGAGGCAGGGAAAGCCCCCTAAGAAGATCTCTCTCTCTCTCTCTCTCTTGCCCATCGTCGGCTTCCACGAGCAGGAAGGCTCGCGCTCCGAGCCCGCGCTGGCGAACTGCCGCAGCAGCGGCTGTTCGCGATTGCCGTCGACTTCAACGCCTCGGAGTTCCCTCGCCGCTGCATCAACGCCCCTGTCGACGCGGACACCGCGGCGGCGCAGAGGCACTGGTGCAAGCCGCTCCACTTGGGCGCCTCGCTCCGTGGCGCCATTCGACATCGACCGCGCGAAGGTCCGAGGCCAACGCGAGTGAGTCTACGATCGAAAGATGATCCGTCAACTTCCTCAGACACCTGATGCCCGCGGTGGGCGCCGTCTACGTCGCCGACGACTAGCCGCTCGATGATGCGAACGGCCCCATCGCCGACCACGACATCATGCACTTCCGCGTCCGCCCGCGTCATTCGAAACCAGTTCATGAACGTGGGGTCAAAATTATTCCAAGACGACATTTTCGACTCCGTCCATAACAACAACCACGTCCAGCACCCCCTCGACTCCATGGAAGCGACGAAGATGAGCCCCAGCACGAAGTGGAGGGCGTTGAACGGCCGCCACGCAAGTGGCGGCCGCGAAGGCCCGTGACGTGCTGACCTAGATCCCCGACGCAGAGCTAGCATCACAATCTCTCGTTCTCTCGCGAGAAACGCGCCATGGCCCTCCGCGACGTCGCCAGGGGGGTCTGGCACCATAACATCGCCCTTGCCGATTTGCAAATCGACAAAACCGCCGCGGGCAAGCACCGCCTCCGCATCGTGGACGGCGTGGCCGTCGTCGCAAAGTGGCCGGCTTCACCTCTGCCACGGATGCCGCGCGCGCCAGCCTCGGCAACGAGCGGAAAGCGAAGGCCTCCGCTCGCTCGCGCGCCGCCTGCGCCGGCAACGACTCCCCCCTCGGC